GATGACCGTCCAAGGAAGACTGAAGGGCCATTTTCTTGTCCCTTTGGTAAATTTGGCTGTCCTACGCTGAATACTTTCCAATTTTTTACACTGCATAATTTTGTGCGGATGCCAAAAATTGCTTCATATTTCATAATTGGAAAAAAAAGCAATACATTAGCAATTACCTTCGCGTTTACTGTACTCTTTTTTAAGATGCAAATTACAAAGTTAAGAGATCTCCAGACTTCCTCTACAACAAAAATCTACGTGATTTTTCCAACACAATTTATTGTCAATATGGATTTCTAGGTACTTACACAAGGAAACTCTCAGAATAATGGCGTTACTTACACGGTAATTCATTTCGTTGTGATTATGACCTTTGCCAAAAGTGAGAAGAGGAAGGAAAAATCGTGCGCTGTTCGTGGCCCGTTTATTTGGGTATTGTTCCGGCTTTCGCTACGGGTTGATCGGACAAATTTATGGACTGATTGATAAGTGTTTCTGGGCGTATCAATTGCTAAGGTCGTTAGTCCCGTAAGTATGGTGCATGTTTCATTTGCGGGAGGAGGTGATGGTAATCTTTCCGAGGTCGATTGTGACATTCGGCGCCGAACTGCACGTTCACGTGCGGGCTTTTCCCCAACGAGGTATCACCCAGCAAGAGGGCCCCGCTTCAACCGAGAGAAACTAAGCTCGCGTGTGCTCTCCTGACATGTGTGGTAGTGTAGCTCATGTAAGGGGGTGTGTAAGGGGTGTGGTTAGGATAAGAAGGAGGAAGGAAAGTTTGCGCGCGATGCGTGATCCTTTTGTTAGGATTCTGCCTGGTGTTGATGGAAGAAACCGCGCAAAACTACCGATCAGAGCAGGCGGTCGCTAAAATTCTCCCCTAGACAGCGGCTGAATTCGACCTAACTAGTGTCGAAAATGCTTTCATCGTGGAGTTTCGAAGAGAAAAAACGTCCCTGTCAGAGGCACTGCAGTGTCATCAGTCGATGGTTTGAGCCACCTTTCCCGGTGTACGTTTCAAAATCTCTCTTGTCCCTCCATGAACCTCCTAACTAGAGGGCACGTACTGATGATAACCGACTACTGGAGGCTGATGATAATACTCTTCAAGCATAGGTCATGCAACGATCGGCTGAGTGATTTTGGTATGACGCCACCTGCTGTCAGTAAAATCGGATTGCACTTCTGCGACATGTTGCTCTTTCATAGCAAATGCTTTTTGTTTTTGTCGATTTTATCGTGATATGTTATTTTGTTGCTAGTAGAGACGACTGCAAAATCATTAAACCAAACTTTCTTGGAAGTTTTTTCCAAAAGGTAATGTCAGGTGTTTTATACTGAATTGCTCTGGTCAGAATACTCGATCCCAGAATAATTATGGGTTTCATTTTCAGGCACAGCATCTGGATGACACTGATACAGTATCTCGGGAAGCTGATGCATCATACTATATTTCTTAGCTAGTATATATGACCCATAGCACCTAATCGTGCCTTATTTTATACTTTGTGGGAGCTGAACTCCAACTTGAGATAACATGCTGTATGGTTTCTCGATATCGACCACATATACGACAATCGTTACATAGACTCCTAGATTTTTGACATATTTAAGATACTTCATTAAGAAAATTAACTGAATTGGATTGCCCACAGCTGAAACAAGACGCTCAAGCTGCAACGTAAGTCACGATAACTAGTGTTTTTTAGCTTTCAACGCGCGACGCCTTCTAGGCGACGTACGCTGGTAACAACGCACGTCGCCAAGAGCGCTCGTGTGCCGTTTTGTATTAGAGACCGTGTTAATCTACGATGCTCGTTAAGTGACTCGTGTGCGTAGGAATCGACGCGCGTCGACGCAGCTGACGTCATCAGTGGTTGGTGATGCGCGTCAGCGCAACGTTGATGTCACACAGGTCTTACTATACTTAAATAATTTTGTTAAGACTTTCAACAACTAAAATAATTATTTACTACTGACTAAAGTATGCAGTAAGTTAAATTTTGTGTTGTAGTTTTAGAGCAAATTGTAGCGTTTGTGTGTGAAAGTCCTAGTTATTGGTTAACATATTTTGACCTTCGCCTTCTAAAAAGATAAAGATTTAATAATTTATTTGATATTTCAATCTTCCGTGACATATACACCGCGTCCGGTATGCTCCATAAATGGCTGGGTAATTTTTGATTCATACCCTAGAACTTCAAAAACTACTGCCCCTTGCTTTGAAGAAAAGAGCTCTTATTTCATATTCAGGAAGTTCTGACAAGAGAGGAGCAACGCTCGTGTTGCTGAAATCGAGCACCTCAGCTTTCCTCAGTACGATCTGCTTTACTTCCTAATGCCAACGGTTAGAAATTATGGACCCCACAAAAGTCTAAAAACAATTGTTCTTACCATAAAGAAAATTTGTACTTGTTTTTTCTTATGTTAAAGCCTTTTAGAACTAATACGTGAGCATTTGGAATTCTTGATAAATCACCATTTTCCGAATAAATAGTTCAATAATAATGCCGGAGCAGTACCCTAAATGGCCAAGGACCGCGCGTGATGTTTCCTTCCTCTTCCTTGTCCTGTTTTCATCCCTTACTTACACACAGTTACATTAACATGCACTACACTACCATACATGTCGGTATATCAGTCGCATACTTAAAGTTTGTCCCGGCTGAGGCGGTGAGAGATATGTGGTTGAAGAACATCTCACTTGCCGATGAGTAATTCGGCGCCGGATGTCGCCAACAAGCGGGGAAAGATCACTGCCATCCCTCGCGATAAAAACATGCTCTACACTTGCCATAGTAAAGAGGTGAGTACATGTGTACATTTGAAATAGGCAACCGTTTTAAAAGGGGGCTTGGTTGCAACTTAATTACCCATAATCTAGCATTTAGACGAGATGTATGGCGGTAAACTGAGGCTAATATATACAGAAGTGATTGATCAATATATATTTCCACCTGCACACCGAAATCTTACTACACATTTTTCCTTGCATTGTTTAATGTAGACGACTTAACTTCGGGTTCTAGGTTTAGATATTTTTAACTTGGATTTCGAAAGAGGATGCCTCACGTAAAAAACCACGCATGCTTAGCATCGCAAATGTAAATCGACCAGGTAGAATTACAGGCTCTGTAGATGCACTGATGAACTTTAAATGAATCCGGAAATTGTCATTGCTCTGTTATGCCTAAAAAATCATAATAATTGTGTATTAAAGAAAGCTCTAAATAAAGCCAGTGACAGGAAAATAATAGGAATAAAAATATGAAATACGAATGCCAATTATATTCTTATTTCCTAGTTTTATTTGCGGTATTTCCGTTTTTATTTTAATGCCCAGTGAATTCGAGTGTTGTTTCAGCTGCACGCATTTCCTATTCAAATTTTTCAAATGTTTGCTTTGGAACTAAAAATATTCTTATATCATCTGGGCCTGTGCAAATCGAATACAAACAAATTAGTATTCCAATTATTTCTTAATTTGTGACGTTTTCTGGATCTGTCTGAGAACCCACATGTTGCCTTTTATTCTTTTCGAGATGGAAAAGCAAACGTGTGTTTAGTTTGGTGTGTAAGATTTCCATATCAGCAGCGTCAAAGTCCAGTTCAGTACGTGGGACACATTTTCGAATTACTTCATTGCCTCCCAGCGCACTCATGTTTAAGACACAGCGACATGGGACAAACTCCATCTCGCACGTTGCTACCTCTATTTACAAAGAATACTTCCATATCTCGGCTTCAACCACATTTCAACAAAAGCCTTTTATTACTTTTTGTTTAACGTGAGTCTGTGCATTTCAGAAACAATAACATTATCGTGTATTTGGCTTTGTCCATTCCCTTTCATATCTTCCAGCGAGCTACTGATTGCAGTTTTGAGATAATATTGACGATCTATCCATTTACCTTATCATGGCCTTGTGATAACCTTTAAGTGTTTCATATTTTGGTATTCATTGAATTCTGCACATTCAATTTGTAACTTAAAATTAGGACAAAACGAGAGCTGAAATTGTAAATTGAAGCGGTACATATTTATTATCCCCATTATTTTTCACTGTAAATTACAGTAACTGAAATAATAATTACCGATCTATTATTGCTTCATTATTGAAAATAAAACGAAAAACCATTATTTTCTAATGCAAATAATCCGCAAAATTTCATCGCACATTGTTTGGTCATCCCATCAGTTGCTAAAGTTTATGGAAAGGTATTTTAAAAACACGAAACAAACAAATTAGCATTTTTTCTTATCTCATGCGTACTCTCTACCACCCACGAGTTCAATGTATTTTTATTAACTAAATATCTTATTTTCAGTACGTTCGAAGACTTCTTATAACGCTTGAAGATACCAAGCTTGAAGTCTTAAAAGTACATTTCGGTTATTTTTGTTCATTTCCCCGCCTAGGGATTGTATCAAGCCGACAGCCGGTTACCCTTTAAGCCTCGATGGGACGCATAATTTACGATACACTACACACCAACACAGTTGAGGACGCCTCCGATCAGGGGTCAGCAGAACGCCAGGGCGTGGCAATCCGCGATATCACATAGATGAAAGACATGTGACAAACAACTATGCCCACGGCGAGACTCGAAACCGCGACCGTTCGGACCGAAGCGCTGAGTCGGTACACGCTCTTAGCCACCTCAGTCATCCAGGTCGGCTTATATAATTTTATGCCATAAGATAATTCGGTAATACCAAAACGCTGTCGTTGCGGTTTCGTTATTTCTCTCCTCAATAGTATAATAATGAAATTCAAGAACATCGCAGTCACTTGGTGCACATATCGAATTACTGCACTCGCTACAGTTCTGGTGAATTATATCTCAAAAGTCGTAAATATTCTGAGTCGCTTTAAAAAAGTTCTCAAACACTGTCATTACCAACCGCAGAAATATTTGAAATGTTCTCGCTACTTAATCGCAAAAAGGCCAACACAATTCTTTTGTTGTAGTAACTAATTAAGAACGAATGATCTGGTGTCTGCATTGCGATTACGTGTAGCTGCGACAACAATAATCTCCGGCCACTCCATTGTTGTAATACGTGGATTTTGCCAATGGGAGGCTCGCAGAGACGATAATAAAACTTCATAAGCCAACGAGATAGCATGCGAACACATGATTTAACTGTTATCACGATTGAAATCACTTTCGAACGAATACCTAGAAAAGTGCGACAAAAGTAAAGAATGTGGACATACTCCCTATTTCATGAGACTGCAGAACAGAACGCGATGGATGATTTCCACCCAGCTGCTTGCTCCTTGCTCAGCTACTCCAGTGGCTCCAGCTTCACTCCGACACGTAACGAGTCGTCTCACCGGGCATGCGCATTGCAGCTGCGGAGGCAACGCCTCTGGTGGCCAGTATCGAACTACTTCACGACCGTCGCAGGAGGCACGACGCTGGTGCTGGCTGGGCGAGGGACGGAATGAGCCAGTTCAGCGTTTTCACAACTGTAGTTCAGTTTATACTAGAGCAGGCTCTCCAACCTACGGCCCGTGTGTGTAAAGTTAGACAGGCAAGAAAATCTTAAAATGCAGATATTTCTCAGACATCAATTCCCAAAGGAATTTCATTATATATAATATATATATATATATATATATATATATATATATATATATACATATCACCATCTCAGAAGACAATGATATATATTCAAATACACTTTTACTAATTTTATATTCTAACAAATGTTCTTCCATATGTCAATTATTATCGTTATATATATTAACTATAAGTCAACAATTAAAAACACATTTTGTATATTCACCTTAAATGAAATATTCTTTATAACAGAAAAAATCCTGGGTGTGCCTCTCTGGATGGGCTTTGGTGAGCAAATCCGTTTATATAATAGATATTCTTAAGAAATGTCTGGCTTCTCAACAGCAACGTCTCACCTTCAAGAAAATGAAAATGAAGCTATTGTATGCGTAGTTTCTATTCTACTTATGAACTTATGAAGAAGTAAATCTATTAACATACAAAGATTTGTTTGAAACGAGCATTTTGAAAGCTAATGAACAAGTATGCTTGAAATGGTTTTAGGATTTTCATAGTGATTGAAATTTAAATTGCTTGAATATACATACAGATGTGAGGTTTAAGAATTTTTGCCGGATTTTGTTTTGAAAGCGACTTTATGGGATTCAAATTCATAAAGACCCATGCAAAGCAGAAAACTCCATGAATCTCAAAATACTGTCTCTTGATAATTTCATGAATGTTCATGCTAAGATCTATTTCGTGGTGGCAAAACATCTTTGCAAAAAATATCTAAGACGAAATAAATAAAATCTAAATAGTATCTCACTTCATTAACAATTGAGAATTTGAAGTCAATCTTACTTTCAGTGTGATCCGGAACAGCCAAAGTTGAATCAAGTCTAAAACAAATAATGACAAACGATCAATTCCATAGGTTAAATTAATTTGAAATCTTTGTCTATTACACAAACAAAAATCATTCGCGTATTATATTTTCAATACTAATAGAACATACAAAACCGAATAGTGTCTTTAGGTTTACAATTGTAGATAGCTCTCAATTGTTTGGTGCTTTGCAAAGGTTGGAGATCTTTGCAGGAGAGTATCTTGTTCACAGACAATGGTGTCGCCTGGGGGGGGGGGAGAAGGTGAGTAATGTGTACCCAGTAAAGAAAAGCGCTAGGAAAAAGGCCCTAGAATCTGGCTTATATTTCCTATAGAACGACTTCAATTCCGAATATGTTGTCTACCACTAAGTGGAAGGCACACTTCTAAGGCGCTGAATCAACACCCTGACCGCGGAGACCTCGGTTGAAGGGCCTACAAGACTCTTCCCAATCTGTCTTGTACGATTTTCTGTGTGCCAATTGCTCCCGAAACCAATGAGAGGAGCCGTAATTCGTTGATTGAATGTTAGTGATTCCGGGTGCGTCAACTGCCAAGGTCATTAGTCCCGTAAGGGTAGTTTTTTCTCGGGAGGTGGCGGTAATCTTCCCCACGTGAATTGCGAGATCCGGCGCCGACCTACCGTCGGCTAGCGGGGTTTTCCCCAACCAAGTATCTCTCATCAGCGGGGCCCTGCCCTAGCCGGGACGAGCTCTAAGATATCCACAAGTCGCCCGCCGTGTCTTAGGGCCGGTTTCACCAACCGGAATCAAGAAGAGGATCCCGAGTTGATTCGGATCAGCTTCCGTTTGATCTCGTTGTGCGTTTCTCCACGCACTTGAAACGAATCAACGTGTCTGACTCAGATCAAATTTGACTCGCAATTGATCCGCCGCCGAGCGGTGGATCACAGCCGGATCAGCAGAAGTTATTTTCAGTTATTTCTCAGCTTGGTCGCAGCAACAATTCGTCTCGCTTGTTTTCCGTGCTTTTTTAAGTCAATACCTGTAGAGTACCTGTTGTTGGACTTGGATTCAATTAAGAAGTATTCGCTAACAGGTAGGATTGTGCGTAATATTTTGTTGGAATTTTTTTTATTTTTGATAGATTATTGTAGATAAAAGTAATGTTAACACAATTGTAGGTTAGAATATTCAGTATTGGGGAGTAAAATTTAAATATATTTCGGTTTCCAATTATTGTAGATTATAAATGACATTAGTAAATAAGATTTGTTACTGTTAATCAATTGGAAGCGATATATTTCCGTATTTCTCTTGATTTTTATGATACATCAATTAGCGTGTGATAGTTTTATTGAATACTTTTTTAGAAGTGATACTTTAAACTTTTTTTTGGTGTTAGGTTAATTTTAATCATAAGAATGGAGTTTGTTTTCGATGATGAAATCATTCAAGATTTATTGTGGGGAGACGTACGGAGACCACGAATAAGAAGAGATTATTTTGAAATTCTGGACGTCATTGATTTCATCAAAAGATTTCGCCTCTCTAAACAAATGGCACTTCATGTTTTTTCGTTGATTGAGGAAAAGTTGGATTTGCCATATGAGAAGTAAAAATGAAATACCATTATTTTACTGAAAATTATAGTACAATACAATTGCAGAATCCATGTAGTTTCAAATGTACGATTCTTGTTTTCACAAGCCACTGGCTCCTGGATAATGTGAATGTAACTAGTTCATGCATTTTATTTAACAATTCATGATTAACATTGTTTTCTTTTCAGGAATGACTGTATTGCTCCAATGGCTCAGCTACTCTGTGCTTTAAGGTTTTATGCAACAAATTTTGACTTGTTAACAGCTGGTGACTACTGTGGTTTCAGAAAATCCATTGATTTCAGAGTTGTTAAGAGAGTGATATGCGCAATAGCAGAACTTTTTCCGTTATTCGTCCAATTTCCTGAGAGTGATCGAGAACGTTTCAAAAACAAATTGAATTTTTGTTCAATTGCTTCCTTTCCGAAGGTTGTAGGGGCAATTGACTGCACCTATGTGCGCATTAACTCACCTGGTGGTAATAATGCTGAATCATTTCGAAACAGAAAGAATTATTTTTCAATAAATGTGCAAGCAATACGCAATGCTAATATGGAATTTATAGATGTAGTTGCGAGGTGACCTGGAAGCTGCCATGATAGCACATTTGGTCATTCGTACAGAAACACAAAATTCCTCACTGGTGTGTACGGGCACAATGTGCTTCTTGGGGATGCAGGATATGCGTGCTCACGATTTTTGTTGACACCTCTCGATGACCCTCTAACCGAAGCAGAACATTTATACAACGAGTCCCACATAAGAACGAGGAATGTTGTGGAAAGGACCTTTGCTGTCTGGAAAAGGAGGTTTCCTGCACTGGCAATAGTACAGATTGTCATTGCAGAATACTTTGCCAGTAATTGTAGCTACTGCAGTCCTGCACAATATATTAAGAAGAGCAGGAGAAGATTTACCACCCGACGATTCTGACCTTAATCTGTCATGGGAATCGTCATTGACTGAGGGAGAAATGCAGGATACTGCTAGGCGAAGATATAACGAAGTTTACAAATAGGACCAACCTTATTTGCAATTATTTTGCAAGTCTTCCTACAAGACAATGAAAAAGTACTAAAATTTTAAATTCCTACAATTTATAAAACATCTTCAATCATTGAAGGTATTTTATATAAAATGCCAGGAACAGTTTTGGAAATAAACAATTTTTTAATATATTCAAAATATTTATTTTCTGTATTTTTTTAATAATGACATCTTCAGAGCATGCATTTCCTCCTGCCTCCTATTTTCCTCTCTCATAGCAAAGAGCTTATCATCATGCGCTTCCTGGTTTCTTTAATTTTCTTTGTGGTAAAACTGCTCTATTGCTAGCAGTTCTTTCGTCTTAACATTTCAGTGTTGCAACCGGGGACGCCTCCTGCAGCACCAATGGCCAGCAGGCGTGTTGGCAGTTGTGGAAGGGGTGTCTGTGACACGGGTGACCGTGGCAGGGTCGGTTGTGGCACTCGTGACTGTGGCGGAGGCAGCTGTAGCACAGGTGACTGTGGCAGGGCCGGCTGTGGCACAGGTGTCTTTGCCAAGGGCTTCATTAGTAGCACCGCTAATAACAAGCATGTCCACAGGCTGCAAAAGGGAACACATCACTGTCCTCAGCAAAGCTGGCGACCCCCTGCTCCAGTCTCCGTTCAGAAGTGGTGGTGGTGGTATTTCTGCAGAGGTCTATAAATTAGAAAAAATCAAGTCATATTTATTTGTCAAATACTGAATTAGACTCTTGAAACTCATTTAGAAAGTGCCCAGAATATTCTGTAAAGAACATGAAATGAAGAGTACTAAATCACTTATCAGGCAAACTGAAGCTTAAAAATAAAAACTTACGCGTATACAAACCTCATCGTGCACACAAACTATATCTGCAAAACTGTTATCAAATTTTAACTGTTACTTGCACTATTTTATTACGAAAATCTTGGAATATACTGCAACAAACTTAACCACTTTTGAGACAAGTATGGTTGACGTGCTTGTCTCTTCATAGTATTTCTGGAATAATTTGTGCAATTAGGACCCGTAGGTCCTACGTGAAAATTTCACCAGAAAAAAAGTAACAGTTCATTTTTATAATCATTACAAGACACTGAATTAGCCTCTCTCCTTAGGCATGTAGGCCTAATTCACAATTATTGCCCAAATTATATAAGTACACGAGTTGTTATATAATTTATTAACAACCATCAGTATTACTGAGTTGTAACTCCACCTTTGCTACATGAAATTCATTCAGTACTGTTCTCACCTCGAAGAGTTCCTCATCATCTTCAGTTATTTGAACTGAAAGCTCATTGAGCCCTGAAAAATAGACAAGACAAAAGAAATGAAGGCAGTAATGTTACGTGCATTAGAATAAGGAAGCATTAATGAAGTACAATGTTCAATGCACATACAACAAGAAAATCTAAGCCTGATGCTACTATACTTTACATAACAGATTTTTAAACAATTAAACACACACACTAGTTCAAATTTTAACCAAAACATTCTCAGTTCTAAGCTCGAAAATTTTCGCCATTTAGGTTATGATATTTTTATTCTTCAATTGAGGACATTACTATTTACAGTGCATTAAATGTAGTTAAATAGAAATTACTTAGCAAGTTTTGCCCATCCGAATCAAAGGGATTGTCCATTCCCTGTGCTGCTGGACCCATAAAATCTTTAATTTGCTCATGGATCCTGTCTACAGGTATTGATTGATATGTGTGGCCCTCCTCCTGAAACGTTAACGTAAGATTATACGTAAATCACATTTGTGGTGAGATTATTAATATCATTTTTAGTGATCTGTTTAAAGTATTTATATTTACTTTCTTGTCTAAAGGTTTTTATACTAGACAATTTGTCTTATATTCAACATACACAAACACACACACATTTGTTTCCAAAAGGAAAATTACTTACCAGTTACGTATCTTTCCACATCCTTTGTCTTCCTTTTGATGTTTTCCCAGAAAACCTGGATGTAAACTTTTCAAATTGCGGGAAGAGCCACGTGCTTCGGCATTGAATTAATTACGTACTGTTCCCACGTTTGGGTTTTAGAATGCTTTGACACATTCGCCGTGCGAGAATTAAATACATGTTTGTACTTGCTCATCAATGATACAAGTAAATATTTTTCTCCTGGGGAGAAATTCGCGGACCTCTTCGTATTCTTCTCGGCCTCTGATAAATTCATTCCGAACATGAAAATTATACCGCACAACCGAACACAAGACACAAACACCACACACCGACGGAAAGAAACCAAATGAACGAAATCAAAACAAATTCGTGTCTACAGTTGATCGCGAGAATACCCACAATGCATTGTACAATTGTTGCCAACCGCGCATTTTCACGACTGCTCGGGAATCATGGGATCTGGATCAACTTCACGATCTCACACGGTTTGTGAAACGCACAGGGATCAAGTCGGCCATGACTCCG